CAAAGCTCCATTTGAGTTTCACAAATGGCTACCAGGACTCCAAGCACTGGGGCCATTTCCACTGCCTTCCCAGGCACATCAGGAGGGAGCTGGATCAGAAGCAGGATCATCAGGAATAGAACTGACACTCTGACACAGGACGTTGGCTCTGCAGACAGCAGCTTCACCCACTGCCTCGGTGTTTACAGAGCCAGAAGTTATCTGTTTATTTTTTCACTTGCTGATGAGTGAATGAAGGAGTGCAGGTAGATCAGGCTCTCACCGTCTTGTACATCCCCTCCACATTCTCTTTGCTGTTCTGCAGGGCCATCTGCTTTGCCAGTGTTCAGCCTACTGTGTTTGCATGGAGCCTCCCCTCCAGGCCAGACACGGACAGGGCAAGCCTGGCCCTCCAAGATTCAACAGGTACATCTGTGCTTCTCCGAGTCTTTGGGTCAGGTTGGGGCCATTCCAGTATGAAGCGTGGCAATCAGTGTGTGTGTACAACTTACAAGCGAGAGGGCTTTAACACCCGTACACAGAGTGGCTGTCCTGTGCCCTCTGCCAGTGCCAACACCGGAGGCAAGTGCTGGAGTCACTGGACTGCCCGGTGCCAGGTTCAAGGTCAGGCCTGGGATCATCTGACTCCGGAACTGAGTGAATCAGAAGCCAGGAGCCAGAAACTTCCTCCAGGTCTTTCATGCGGGTGCTGGGTCCCAAGGCTTTGGGCTGTCCTCCACTGTTTTCCCAGGCCCCAAGCAGGGAGCTAGCTGGATGGGAAGAGGAACAGCTGGGGCATGACCTGGCGTCCAGAAGGAATCCTGGTGCAAGCATGGCAAGGACTTTAGCCAGCAGGTTACCATGTCTGGCCCAAGCCAAGATGAATTTTTTAAAAACCTAATTCTAATTATGCTGTTAAAAAGACCCTTCAATAGTGCTTCAGTGTCCTTCAAGTCTTACCCCATCTTTCATTTTCAATATCCCTCTTACCCTCACCAGCCTCAGCCTCCTCTATCATCTCTCCTCCAGGTGGAGTCTATTTGTCCTCTTGAACTGGTCCTCTCTACCATCTTCTGCTTCACACTGCTGTGACCTGGAAAACTTTTTCTCACCATCTCCATCAAGCATGTCAATTCTTTACATCCATCCTTCAGGTGTTAGCCAAGACATGGGCTAGAAGTGAAGTCTTTGTGCTTTAACAGGTTGCATTCATCAGTGAAATTTCTCAGAATAATGATGGAACAAACACTGAGTGTTTAAGAGTGAATTGTAGAGGGCCCGGCGCGGTGGCGCAAGTGGTTAAAGGTCCTCGCTTTGCACGCCCAGGATCCCATATGGGCGCTAGTTCTAATCCCGGCAGCCCCGCTTCCCTTCCAGCTCCCTGCCTGTGGCCTGGGAAAGCAGTCGAGGACGGCCCAAAGCTTTGGGAACCTGCACCCGCGTGGGAGACCTGGAAGAGGCTCCTGGCTTCGGATCGGCATAGTATCGGCCCGTTGCACTCACTTGGGGAGTGAATCATCGGACGGAAGATCTTCCTCTCTGTCTCTCCTCTCTGTATATCCACCTTTCCAATGAAAAAATAATAAAAATAAATCTTTAAAAAAAAAAAAAGAGTGAATTGTAGGGCCCGGCAGTGTGGCCTAGAGGCTAAAGTCCTCGCCTTGAACGCGCCGGTTCTAGTCCCGGCAGTCCCACTTCCCATCCAGCTCCCTGCCTGTGACCTGGGAAAGCAGTCGAGGACGGCCCAAAGCCTTGGGACCCTGCACCCCATGTGGAATACCCGGAAGAAGTTCTTGGATCCTGGCTTTGGATCGGCATAGCACCAGCCGTTGTGGTCACATGGGGAGTGAATCATCTGATGGAAGATCCTCCTCTCTGTATATCTGACTTTCCAATAAATAAATAAATCTTTAAAAAAAAAAAAAAACGATTGAAGGAGTATGACATGAGGGTGAATTGGCAAAAACTCCATGGCTGGAAATATTGGCAATATTAATGAAAATAAAAAATGTACACATTCTCTGACACCTGCTAATTCCAACACAAGTACTTATACACCCAAGTGTAACACATATCACAAAGAATAGCCTCATATAGATAACAGACCAGATGCAAACTGTTGTCCATTGATAAGGACAGCTTACACAAATTAAGGTACATTCACACAACATTCGGAATCCATGAAATAATTAGCAATTAGACACAAATTTATTCATTGACATAAAATCTTAGGAAGCATACATTTGAGAGGCAGGAAAAAGGATGTCCCATCTACTTTGTCACTCCCCAAATGCCCCACAACAGCCAAGACAGGACGAGGGTGAATCTAGGAGCTGGGAACTCAATCTACACCTCCCACATAGTGGCAGGAATCCGGGTACTTCAGCCATCACTACTCTCTTTCAGGTGTTCTGACATGGGGTATGGACCTCTTGCCAGTGTATTAACTCCTAGAATAAATACCTGTAACTACCTTTTTAATTTTTGTGGTTTTTTTAAAAGATTAATTTATTCATCTAAAAGTTACAGAAAAAGACAGAAATCTTCCACTCATTGGTTCACTCCTGGTCTACCACCTGGGTACAGGGACAGCTGGAACTTGAACCAGCACCCATATGGGATGCTGGCTTGCAGGTGGTGTTTTTATCCACTATACCACAATGTCAGTCCCAACCACTAACATTTTAAGACAAAACAATTTAATGAAAAGTGTGATTTTTCCAAACATTGTATATTTGAAAGGCACATATAAGAAAACACTCTCATATAAGCATAGTGTAGGACATTGTAACCCTAGAAGGCCAGGGAGCACAGGATTACCTAATGGATACCTTTTGTACACCTGACTGGATATCATTTATATGAGAACAGTTTAGAGGACAGCATGTGTAGGAACACTTGGTGGAATATACAAGACAAAAGTATAGAAACAGTTGATGGGTTTTGTTGATAAGCTCAATACCTCCACCCTTATCCTATACGACCCTTAGTAAATAAAGTCTTAAGCCCCATTAAACTTTGGCTTTGGCCATCAGTCAGAGTGCAGCATAGTAACAGAGAAAAGGAGACAGGAAGGGAGGCATGAGAGGTGGGGTAGACGGCAGGAAAGATGAGAAGTTCTTCCATACACTGGTTCAGATTTTCCAAATGGCTGCAACAGCCAAGGCAGAGTCAAGTTGAACCCAGAAGTCAGAACCCCAGCTAAGTCTCCCAGGGAGGTGGCAGCAGTTCACTACTTGGGCTATCATTCTGCTGCCTTAGCATGTGCATTAGCAGGAAGCTACACAGAGGCAGAGTAGCTAGACTCAAACCTACACTGTGATATGGGCTGTCAGTGTAGCAAGTGGTGGCTGAATCCATTGTCCCACAATACTAAACCCTGTTCTCCATTTGTGCAAACTTCTTCAACGTCTAGCTAATGAATGATTAGTAAATTCTCACATGTTTTGTATTTCATCTAGTAGGCTGAATGAAATGAGAGAAACTCAGCTTCACTAGGGACTCAGTTGGAACAGGAACATTTTTAAGAGGTTGGTTGACGGGTGGCAGAGCCAGTTATTTGGGCCATCTTCTTCCCAGATACATCATCAAGAAGCTAGAGGAGAAATAAAGCATCAAAGACTTGAACCCACTGTGCTCAACACTTGCCCCCAGTGCCTGTTTCTTAACCATAACTCTGCTTCACAGTACATAAAGTAGCATTCTGTTAGCAATATTTTCCACATTTATAATCAGAAAAAATTCTTAGTAAATGTTCTCATGAAGACTTGATTGAGTCTTAAAAAATACATGGGGCCACTAGGAGCCCATGTGTAGTGGTTCATGTCCTAGTGGCCCCACTTCCCATCCAGCTCCCTGTTTGTGGCCTGGGAAAGCAGTCAAGCATGGCCCAAAGCCTTGGGATCCTACACCTGCATAGGAGACTGGAAAAAGCTCCTGGTTTTGATTGGCTCAACTCTGTTGCAGCCACTTTGGGAGTGAACCAGCGGCTAGAGGATTTTTCTGTCTCTCCTTCTTGTTGCAATCTGACTTTCCAATAAAAATAAGTAAATCTTTAAAAAAAAAAAAAAAAAGAAGCAAAGGAAAAAAAGGAGAGATAGAAAGAAATTTCTTCCATCCATTTGGTTTACTCCCAAAATGGTTCCAAGCTGAGTCAATCTGAAGCCAAAAGCATGGGCGCAGTGTCCCTAAGGCTTTGAGCCATCCTCTTCTGCTTTCCCAGGCCACAGGCAGGGAGCTGGATGGGAAGCAGAACATCCAGGACACACACTGGTGCCCATATGGGATCCTAGTACTTTAAGGGGAAGGATTAGCCAATTAAGTCAATGCACTGGGTCCCTTTCTAGTCTTTCCTAAGATTGATGATTTGTAAATACTACCTAAAGAAAAAAATTTTCACTCAACCTTCATGGGACACTATATTGCATAAATCAGCTAAAAGTCCAACCCAAGCCATGATCTTGCAACACTGTGGAATGTCTATGTCTAGGTCAGACACAGTGAAAAAAACCGGCCATCTGCACCCAAGCTCTGACTCTTCCATGGACTGAACAAAAGCCCAGACAAGGGACAAGCTGCTTGGCCTTCCTAAACCTGATCTTTTTGTTTCTTTGTTTAAAATAAATAAATATATAAGTAAATAAATAAACAAAAACATTTCCTACGCACATTCCCCACAGCACTGCTCTGAAGCTAAAATGACAAAGTGTATATATTTGCATACCCAGTGTGTCTGTGTGCACATATAAGACAACACTCACTCTGTGACTGTTAAATCCTGTATACACATAAGAATCACTAGTAAGGCAATAGTAAAAAGAGTGACATGAAATTCAAACCTTTTCCAAGCACAAAACAAGTAATACACTCAATAATCTTTTGTGATGATGTCAATCACTGCTCTTGATTCAGGCTTAGTTGTCTAATAAAGTGTGAGATAACCTTCAGGTATGACCTTCAGAGAAACACTTGTTTGTATCTAGAATGAGGCCAGGCAGAGAGGAAAGCAGCTGATTTCCTACCTGCAGCTCTGCTTCCAGGCCTAGCCGTCGGATGAAGGGGTCAGTGACATGGTAGCGCCGCTCAAAGCTCAGAGCACCCCGTTCCTGGGGACAGAAACAAGTTTACAGTCCTACGGACATACCAACACTGACAGTGTGCTTATTAGATATGGAGTCCCACGCTGGGCAATGCAGGAGCTAGAAAAACTAAGAGGAGCCTGCACTACTTTTTGGAGGGATTAGAGAATAGATCAAAGTATATTAACTAAGTTATGCAGTAGAATTAAGACAGCTGATGAGCATCACTTTAGGATAAATTTAAGTAAAAAAACCAAACTGTTGATTCTGCTCTTTCCGGCCCAATCAAATCTCTCTCTCTCTCTCTCTCTCTCTCACACACACACACTAAAAGGACTTAAAAATGCAGGGAAGATACGAAATGTAATCATCATGCACATGGGGTAAATACTCAAGTCTTTGATGATGACCACTGCTCAGCTGGTATAATAGTTAAAAAAAATTTGTGTAAGAACTTGCTCCTGTTTATTTAGATTTGATCCTTCCTATTTGCTTGCAAGCAGGCAGACACGATCATTACCTAACAGAAAACAGAGGCACATGGCAGCAAATGCCTCCTGCTTGGGAGGGAAAGCAGTGGTGCAGCACAATCAGCTCCAGTTTCCAGCTGGGGCTTCCTCAGTACATCTTGCCTGCATTCCATCTGTTCCACCGAACCTCTGTGCCTCCACTACTGGGGGTTTCCAGGCAAAGCCTGGGGCTGCCCTGCTGTTTTGGAGTCCACCCATCCCTTCATCATACAAGCATCAGACTGTCTTCTGCATATAAGGATGGGCTTTAGTACAGCTGAGCAAAGAAAGAATTGGGACTAAGACTCTCCCAGGTTCCAGTGGAGCAACAAGAGAAAGCTCCATGACTTTATTCTGCAAGCTCCCACCAACACATGCGTGTGCAAGCCTGTGCATGACTCTTGGATAGCTTCTCTCCTTCATGGACCTACATAATCTTAGCTGCCCAGGTACAAGTTCTGGGACAGGAAAAGCCATACAAAGCCCCTGTTTTTGGATAAAAGTGGCTGAGGAATGTCTGCTACTTAACTGACTTCTGGCAATTGACTCTAGCTCATGGTCTTCTGGTTGTTGAAGCTGTGGGTGGCAGGGGTGGGGAAGGATCTTGAGTTCAGGTTCAAACATCTGTGCTGCTTACCTTGACCTGCCTGCGAATGAGGTCTCTAGTTATGTTAACTTTTGCCATCTTCTCTTAACGGATTCAACAGAAGGAAATTACAGAAGAATCTTCAGGACCCTTGAGCATTCCAGCCAAGCCCAGGTCCACAAGACACACATTTAGCTATCTGAGAAGAGAGAGGAGAGAATCAAACCTTGTAAAATGGAAAAAGTTGGCTTTATAACCCCAATTTTCCCCAAAACAGCCCACCAACCCACAAAGTAGACCGGCTTTTGGCATAATTCATGGCACAGTGAACTGGCCCTGCTCCATAGTGATGACCAACTTCTGGAATGGGGAAGACAGAATTTCACAATCACAGGAAGCCACTGAAAGAAACATTGAAGGCGTATGACCAGGGGTAGGAGTAGAGGAAAATGATAGTATACCCAGGAAAAGAACAACACATAATAGCTAGAGTCCAGATTGACAGGATCAGTAGGCCATAATACCCGGGCCAAACCCTAAATTGTGATTCAAGGGCCCAGCGGCGTGGCCTAGCAGCCAAAGTCCTTGCATGCACCGGGATCCCATTTGGAGGCTGGTTCTAATCCCGGCAGCCCCGCTTCCCATTCAGTTCCCTGCTTGTGGCCTGGGAAAGCAGTGGAGGAGCCCAAAGCCTTGGGACCCTGCACCTGTGTGGGAGACCCAGGAAGAGCTCCTGGCTCCTGGCTTCGGATTGGTTCAGCTCCAGCCATTGTGGTCACTTGGGGAGAGAATAATCAGACGGAAGATCCTCCTCTCTGTCTCTCCTCTCTGTATATCTACCTTTCCAATAAAAATGAATAAAACTTTTTAAAAAAATCATGATTCAAATCCTTGACCTTCAGCTTTGCTCTCCCCAAAATCAAATCAACATCACAGACAGAACACTCAATTGTTACATGGATGGGGAACGTTTGAAACACAGGACATAAAGCCCATGTAATCTTGTCCTTGCCAAGTCGGACCATAGGCAAGACTCCAAATTCAATAAACCTACAGTAGGCTAAATTTTAAGTTGATAATTTTCTATGATGCTATAATCACCAACATGGCCCTTCAGGAGTGGGGCAATTACACATCTTTGAGACAGTCACAGAATCAGAGTGGGAAAGAAATGCAATTGTCAGTCTTACAGGAGGTGGGAGTTTGGGGGGGAATCCCAGCATACACAAAATTGTACCAAACAATTAAAAAAAAAAATACAATTGTCACCATGTACAAGATCCAACAAAACACAAGACCAATAAAAAACAAACAAAAAAAAAAAAAGAGGAAAAAAAGACTAGAAAATCCAATCTAATGAAATATTCCCAATGTCTTCAAAAGTTGAATTCTAGTCTCACTTAAATTTTTCTCAAAAGAGAGATCTTAAGACTTTTTTCTTTCTCTTTTTCTTCTTCTTTTTTTTTTTTTTTTTTTTAATTTGAAAGGTTGAGAGATGCAAATATCTTAACCGGCTAATTCACTTCCAAATGGCTGCGATAGTTGGGAGGAGGCTAGGTTGAAGTCAGGAGCCCAAAATTAAATCCTGGTTCCACATGTACAAAGCAAGGACCCACATATTTCAGCCATGAGCTGCCTCTCAGAGCACACATTAACAGGAAGCAAGGATTCAAAGCAGAGCCAGGAGTCAAACTCAAGCATTTAGACATGGGATATGAACATGGGATGTGTAACCACTGTACCAAGCTCCAGTCCCAGGCACTAGCCCCTGAAGAAACCAATTTCTGTAATAGAACCTGTTGATTAGAAAGACCACATATTTCCACCTTTTTCTTTCTACAAAAATCTTATTTATTTGAAAGGCAGAGACGACACAGAGGGAAAGATAGCAAGAAAAAGATCTTCTACCCACTAGTTCACTCCCAAGTAGCCTTGGTAACTGGGACTGGGCTAGGAGCAAGCCAGGAGCCAGAACCCCATCCCGGTCTCCCACATGGGGAGCAGGTCCAAGCACGTGGACTCTCCCATGAACTTCGCAGGTGCATCAGCAGGGAAGAGGAGTGGAGGGTAGTATCTGAAACCTTACTCAGCATGCCAGCATAGGAGGCCAGCATCACAGGTGGTCTAACCTGCTGTCAATGCTGGCCCCAAGTAATCCCATTTCTGAAATGCTACCATAAAGGATCCAAAATAAGACATAAAGGTCCAGATTCTCTAACAGTAAAAAAAAAAAAAAAAAAAAAAAAAAAAACTAAAATGACCCTAGTATCCAGTAACAAAAAACGTCTAAATAATGAATGGCCAAATATTTAGCAACAATAAGAAACTCTAATTATGGAAGGAAATGCTTATATCACAATAACATGCTGCTTTTGAAATGAACAGTTATCACTGTGATATTTACTTTTTTTAAAAAGATCTATTTCTTTTTATTGGTTAAGGCAGAGCTATACAGAGAAAGGCAGACAAGATCTCCCATCCGCTTGTTCACTCCCCAAATGGTCACAATGGCAGGAGCTGAGCCAAACTGAAGCAAGGAGCCAGGAGCTCTTTCGGGTCTCCCACTGCAGGCAGTGGCTTAGCTTACTACACCATGCTGACCCCAAATCCCAGTGAAGTGTAAAGAAAAAGGAAGAGATTAAGTCACTGTTCATGATGCTGGCATTCCTTATCTTCCTTTCTTTCTTTCTTTCTTAGCCAACCCAAAATCAGGAGTCAGAAACCGAAGGAACTGGGCCATCTTCCACCACTATCACTTCCCCAGGCCATTATCAGGGAGACGGGTCAGAAATGGGCAGCCAGGATAGGAATCGGCACCCATACGGGATGCTGGCACTACAGGCAGAGGATTAACTTGCACCCCACTGCCCTAGTCACTATCTTTCAAATAAAAGATATAATCGGACCTTGACGAAATCTCACCTGCAAAAACCTGACGTATAATCTAGTCATCTTATATATATAAGTACATCAATTTGAAAAGCATAAAGATAGAGACACAGACAGAGAAAGACTGAACCCAATGGTTCGCTGTCCAAATGTTCACAATACCTAATTTTGGGCCACACTGAGGCTAAAAGCTCCCCTCTAGGTATGGACCCAAACAGTCGGAGTTATCAACTACAGCTTCCAAGGGCACACATTAGTAGGAAGCTGAAATAACAAAAGATGCTCAGGGACCGATGCAGTAGCCTAGCGGCTAAGGTCTTCACTTTGAACATGCCAAGATCCCATACGGGCACTGGTTCTAACCCCAGTGGCAACACTTTCCATCCAGCTCCCTGCTAGTGGCCTAGGAAAGCAGTTGAGAATGGTCAAAGCCTTAGGAACCTGCACCCAGAAACAGACCCGGAAGAAGCTCCTGGCTCCTGGCTTTGGATCAGCACAGCTCTGGTCATTGTGGCAGGTTGGGGATTGAATCAATGAATGGAAGATCTTCCTCTCTGTCTCTCCTCCTCTCTGTATATCTGACTTCCAATAAATAAAAAAATAAATAAATCTTTAAAAAAAGAGAAAACAAATCTTTAACAAATAAATTTTTCAATGCCTGTTATGCCCAAATAGTGCTATGCTTTGAAAATACATTAAAGGGACCTTGCATGACAGCATAGTGGCTAAAGTCCTTGCCTTGAACGTGCCAGGATCCCATACAGGCTCCGGTTCTAATCCTGACAGCCCCACTTTCCATCCAGCTCCCTGCTTATGGCCTGGGAAAGCAGTGGAGGATAGCCCAAATCCTTGGGACCCTGCACCTGGAAGAAGAGACCCGGAAGAAGCTCTTGGCTCCTGGTTTCAGATCAGCTCATCTCCGGCCCTTGTGGTCACTTGGGGGATGAATCAGTGGACGGAAGATCTTCCTCTGTATCTGACTTTGCAATAAAAATAAATAAATCTTTACAAAAAAAAAAAAAAAAGAAAATACATTAGAGAACAAGCCAAACACAGCCTTTTCTTCCAGAGCTGACACTATGATTGTCCTTAACTGTGTATCAGGGACAACAAAACTGGAGAGGGATTGAAAAGGACAAATTTAACTAAATGACTGAAAAGGAATAGCCAGGACAGTGAATTCAGAAGGAACTTATGGCATAATAAGTCTTGTTTATAATCATTTATTCATACAACTTACAAGAAAGCACAAAATGACAGTGGAGAAAATTAAAAGAACATCTGCAAGAATAAGAACGTAACTTGGAAAACACAAATACAAAATTGGGGCTGTCAACAGACCACAGGTAATGTCAATGTGCATTCTTCATTCTAAGGAGGGCTGTTAATGTGACCTGGTTTTCACACTTAAAGCTCCAATAACACCAAGAGCTAATGTGTTAGCAGAACACAAAAGCTCAGTCAAACTTTTTTTTTCAAGATTGATTTATTTTTATTGCAAAATCAGATACACAGAGAGGAGGAGAGCCAGAGGAAGATCTGTCATTCATTGGTTCATCCACTAAGTGACTGCAATGGCCAGAGATGAGCCAATCCGAAACCAGGAGCCTGGAGTCCCTTCTGGGTCTTCCATACGTGTGCAGTCTCAAGGCCTTGGGCTATCCCCAGCTGCCTTCCCAGGCCACAGGCAGGGAGCTGGAAGGGAAATGGGGCCACCAGCATTGGAACCAGCGCCTTGGGACATGCAAGGTTAGGACTCTAGCCATAAGTCTACTGTGCCAGGCCCAACATTCTTTAGTTAGAGTACAAAGGTTTAAGGATTCTATCTACTATAATGTAGACATTCAACAGAAAAGGAAGAAAGAAATCTAATTCTCAGAGCTGAGAATATAAAGACTATATTAAAAAGTATCTATGGCATACAGGAAAACATATGACATAATGTTGTCAAAAACACAGGAGTTGCTATGCAGATGTTGTACCTCTCAAAAATAATTCTATTATTGGAACTGCAGGATATCTAGTATGTCATTACTTAACCCCATCTCTTCCATGAACTTTTTTCTTTTTTGCAAAAATGTATTTATTGGAAAGTGAGAAAATTTAGAGTGGATATGAAGCTGCCAAGCTCCATATTCCAGTGTCTAGGACTGAGTTCTCATTCTGCCTCTGGTCCAGATCCCTGCTGCTATGTTCCCTGGGAGATGCCAGCTGATGGGCCAAGTACTTGGGTTCCTATGTCCCACACAGGAGACCTGCATGGAGTTCTTGCCTCCAGACATTACTGGTGCAGATTTAGGGAGTAAACTA